CCCCAAAACCCCAAAACCCCAAAACCCCAGATCATTCACAGATGTTGAGGATTATAAAATGACGCATTTGTGTTAATTTTATAAGATTTTCTAAATGAAGTTCCCAAAATGTCAGCACAAAGGATGCCGTGAGGCTGCTGCTTGCTACTTATCGGAGAAGAAACTGTACCTTTGTCAACAACACCGCTTTGCCCAATATCCTGAAGACAATTCAGTTCTTCTTGTTGATGACTCTACAGTTGAAACTAATCTGAAAGCTATCCAAATCTGTAGTAAAGATTTCCTTGCCTTCACTCAAATGCTGAATAATGGAAGCATCTCTGCAGATGAAGATGACCTAAGCAAAACTATAAAAGGAGAACTCAATTATATCTCCGATGAACTAAAGGAAGCCCAAAAAACTTGCAAGTACTACGAGTTCTGTGAACTTCTTGGTAAAACTTTGGATATTAAAGATGTCTTGGAACAACATCATCTTTATGTCAAGTACTTGGTGACCAGGGCTTGGAATAAATCACTTTCAATAGCCAAGGGTAAATCTCTGAAAAGTTCTGAGGTTGTTGAAATGGAACTAAAACGTGAGTATGAAGCCACATTTGGTACGATATCTGAGAAGTTCATACAAATGAGAAGGAAAATCGAACGAAGACATCAAGAGGAAATGTTTTAACTCGAAGATAACATTGGAAAGATCAATGACTAGTGATTTTAACAAAGAAAGAGAAGACCTAAGGAAAAACTACGAAGAAGAACTTAACGAGAAAAAGAGACAATACAGAAACAAAAGAATCCAGCTCAAACAAAAAGTTAGTGAACTAAAGGAAATCAAAGAAACACTTGAAGAGAACTTAGCGAGCCTGAAAGAAGAGAACAAAAGAAAAGATACAGTATTGCATGTTCTTCAAGAAGAAAACGCTCAAGCTTGTCAAGAACTAAGGAGAACCAAAGATGAACTTGAAGAATCTAAACAATCCGCTGAAGATCTTGCTGATAAACTTGATGAAGAAATTGCTCTCTCCAAAGATCATCAAGAGTTACTTGAGGCACAGAAAGACTTGCATGACCAAAGCATAGCTAAGCTTCGGGAAGCCAAAGATGCGGAATTACAAGCTCTTCAGGACACCCTGAGTGCCAAAGAAGAAGAACTTAAGAAATCTGAACTGGAGAAGGAGAATCTTCAGACTGACAAAAACAACATCACGAAGGAACTAATCTCCAATCTAAACCTCTCCAAGAGCTCTGACCTCAGTAACCTCTACAGAATTATCACTGGGCAGGAGAAGCAGATCGGACCTGAAACTGAATTAGCACTTAAACTTGACAATCTGAAGGATATGGAATTTCTAACATCCCTAAACAAGAGAATGCCAGAAGTTGCTAGACTTGATCTTTACAAAATCCCTCTGAACTGTCAAGAAGTGAAGACTTTCCTGGCAACCTATTTCCCCAACAAAGTGAGGGAGCTCTATTTTAATAGTGGCTCTCCTCTGAGTAATTCTCTCCCTTTTTACTTGGAGGAACTGGTGGAAGTGATTAAGAGAGTCACTGGACACTTGTATATTTATGAATTTGAAGTCTCTCAGGACCAACTTGTTACCCTCTTCTCTGCAAACAGACATCAAGAGTGGTTTGGGTTTTCTGACTGTAAACTCGCTTTGTATTCTGTTCCTGATTTTGGAGGCACTCTTGCTGGAAGTACAATGCAAGTATTAAGTTTGAGAGGCTGAGGAAAATCTTCGTATGGTGACTGGGGCAACAACGATTCCCACTTTGAAAACCTCATTGCTGGGCTTTCTCAGGAGGAAGATTTTAGGAAGAATCTGGAGTGGATTGGATTGTCCGGTTGTGGAATGAAGAAGAATGATGTAAAGAAGATTTTGGCTGATCATGGCTTTGGACATGTTGAAATTGGAGAGTACTCAAAGTAGATGCCTAAACCGAAAATGCCAAAAAGAAAAATTTTACTTTCATCAGATTAATCTCTATTGACCATATTGATGACAATAAAGTAAAATTCAATGGGTCTGACTAGTTGTGGGGTTTTGGGGTTTTGGGGTTTTGGGG